GACAAACGATAATAAAAATAAGCTTCTAGGCTGGGCGTGGTGGCTCACGCCTATAATCCCAGCACTCTGGGAGGCCGAGGCGGGAGGATCGCTCAAGGTCAGGAGTTCGAAACCAGCCTGAGCAAGAGCCAGACCCCGTCTCAACTAAAAAGAGGAAGAATTTTCTGGGTCTACGTAAGGTAAAGGAAAACATAAAATAAAATAAAATAAAATAAAATAAAAGTAGAAAGAAATTAGTTGGAAAAAAGAGAGATTGATCTCACTCTGTCGCCCGGCTAGAGTGAGGCTGGGCGTCAGCCTCGCTCACAGCAACCTCCAACTCCTGGGCTCAAGCGATCCTCCTTCCTCAGCCTCCTCCGAGTAGCTGGGACTACAGGCACCGCGACACCCACGCCCAGCTCATTTTTTCTATGTATATATTAGTTGGCCAATTAATTTCTTTTCTATTTATAGTAGAGACTGGGTCTCACTCTTGCTAGGCTGGTTTAGACTCCTGACTTTGAGCGATCTCCCGCCTCGGCTCCCAGAGGCTGGGATGACAGGTGTGAGCCACCGCGCCGGCCGAGTTGGACCATTTTAATCCACTATCCAACAGTCTTGCCAAGAATACGGGAGCCGAGAGAAGTTTCACTCCCGCACTTCCTAAGTCACACCAAATAGAGAACATCCCTTGTGAACTGTTATATGTGACTCGCTAACCAGATTTAAGTCCCTCAAGAATTTTGTGGGTTTTTTTTCCCTACCACATCTTTCTTTTCTTTTTATTATTATTTCAGCATATTACAGGGGTACAAGTGTCAAGGTCACGTGCATTGCCCTTGCCCTCCTCCCCCCTGGAGTCAGAGCCTCAAGCGTGCCCATCCCCCAGACGGTGCACGTCTCACTCGTCGTGTCTGTCTACACCCGTCCCTCCTCCCTCCACCTGCCCGACCACCACAGATGCACTCCTGTGTGTCCACTTAGGTGCTGATCCGTCAACACCAGTTTTGCTGGTGAGCGCACGTGGTGCTTGTGTTTCCATTCTTGGGACGCTTCCCTTAGTAGGATGGGCTCAGCTCCAGCCAGGAAGACACGAGAGGTGCTGGGTCACCGTGTTTCTCAGAGCTGAGTAGTGCTCCGTGGTGCACATAGACCAAATCCTACCACATCTTTCTTACAAAAAGAATTCCTTAGGGAAAGCATAAATTTAGTAGTGACTCCTCAGATCTTAAAAAATGAAAAAAAAAAAACACACAAAAAAACCAAACCCACATTTTAGTGAATGACAAATTCCAGAGACATATGCCTAGCAACCCGAAGAAAATGAAGATTCCAGAATGTGCCTGGGAATAATCATAGATTGTCGCGTGGGTAACACACAGACTAGTATATGCTGTATCTTCTTTCCGACTTTACTAAATGAAAAACCCACTCTTGGGCAGGCGGGGAATCCTCTTTTGAACTTGGAACAGGTACAGACATGCAGACTCAAATCTGAAGATCGTATCTGTTGTATCTGCACGTGTTTCAAAACACAGGCTTCAACTTTCCGCCGGTGAAATTCCCATGAAGTGCGTGACCGAGACAGGTCTGTGGTGAGTCATGCTGCCTAAAGAAGAAGCATTCCTCTTTTTTGAACAGTAAAGATGAACAGAGGAAAAATCTGGGGTGATCTGCAATGGTAATGTCTTCTTATGCTAAACTTCAGAACGTCTAAACATAAGGCAAAAATCCGAAACATTTTGACTGTATCGAAATTGAAGATTTCTGTTCAACCGAGAACACCACAGACAAAGGTAACAGGTAAGTGGCAGAAAAGATGTTTCTAGTATCAAAAATTCTAAAACAGACGGAATTAATGTTTAGGATATACAAGACAGTACTAACAATCAGTGGAAAAAAGGTAATGCAATAAAAGGGACAAACGATAATAAAAATAAGCTTCTAGGCTGGCGTGGTGGCTCACGCTGTCATCCCAGCACTCTGGGAGGCCGAGGCGGGAGGATCGCTCAAGTCAGGATCCAGACAGGCCTGAGCAAGCCAGACCCGTCTCAACTAAAAGAGGAAGAATTTCTGGTCTACATAAGGTAAAGGAAAATAAAATAAAATAAAATAAAAGTAGAAAGAAATTAGTTGGCCAACTAAAAATATATAGAAAAGTTTAGCCGGCGTGTGGCCGAATGCCTTTATCCCTGCTACTCGGCAGGGAGGCTTGAGCAGGAGGATGCTTGAGCCCAGAAATTTTGAGGTTGCTGTGAGCAGAGGCTGCGCCAACGGACACTCACTCTAGCCCGGGACCAGAGCAAGACTCTGGTCTCAAAAATAAATAAATAAAATAAACAAATAAAATGTCTAAAATTGGGAAGGAATCAATCATTTATTTTAAGGGATATACAAAGAAATACTGCAATCAGTGAGAAAAAGACAACAATAAATACAGGGACAAAGGAAAATAAAATATAAGCTTCGGTGGGCGGGCGTGGTGTCTCATGCCTGTAATCTAGCACTTTGGGGGCCGAGGCGGGCGGATTGCTCAAGGTCAGAAGTTCGAAACACAGCCCGGAGGAGACCGCCGTGCTCTACCAAAATAAAATAAGATTAATTGACCAACTAAAAATTATATATACAAAATTAGCCGGGCACGGTGGCGCATTCCTGTAGTCCTAGTATCTCAGGAGGTGCTGCAGTATGTTCTGCTGGCCCCCTCCTATGAGATTGAGGTGCTGTGAGCGAGGCGTACGCCAACGGCACTCCTCTAGCGCTGGGCAACACAGCGAGACTCTTGTCTCAAAAAAATAAATAAAATTAAATAAAAAAAAAGTAAGCTTTAAGCTATGGAAATCCAATAAGCTGCAGGGTATAAGCATCAGTAAGTAGAAAATGTACAGTTAAAAATGAGATATAACTTTATGTGTGCAATTAATGGCAAAATTGACAAGATGAAGATAAGTTGGATGGATTGAGGATGGACGGTCACAAGCAACACTCGATGCACTTGCAGTTGACGTTCTGGAGGAATTCCGACACGGCTTTTTTCCTGTTCAGCACTGCATGTCCAATACTCCAGCCAGTTTTGCTCCTGAGTACCTGTTTCCCGAAATGCCCTCTCTGAAAAGCTAGCAGGATTCTGAGACGTGTCGCAATAGAAGCGTTACCCCGAAAAATCAGCCCTCTGGTGATGGGCGTGGCTATGAAAATAGCCTAGTGGTGGGGTGGGCTATGAAAATCAGCCCTGGTGTGATGGCGTGGCTATGAAAATCAGCCTGATGATGGGGCGGTGCTATGAAACAGCGCCTAGTGATGGGCGTGGTATGAAAATCAGCCCTGGTGATGTGTGGCTATGAAAATCAGCCCTAGTGGGTGGGCGTGCTATGAATAATCAGCACCTGGTGCCATGGGCGTGGCTATGAAATCAGCCTAGTGACGGCGTGGCTGCGCA